AAAAAAAAAAAAACGGGTCATGGTCTGCAGATTACCAAGTGTGAGTGGTTGGGGTCCTTGGGGATGACCATGGCTGCAAGAGGAGAGCACATGATGAAGGTAAAAAAGGGGTTGAGGCCCTGTGGGCTTTTGTATGCGGAGCGGTCTCCACATCTTCTCACTTGCTCCCTCTCTCCCTCACTCCCATGCTGCCCACACAAAGAAAGAAAGAAAGAAAGAAAGAAAGAAAGAAAGAAAGAAAGAAAGAAAGAAAGAAAGAAAGAAAGAAAGAAAGAAAGAAAGAAAAAGAAAGAAAGAAAGAACGTAAGAAAGAAAGAAAGAAAGAAAGAAAGAAAGAAAGAAAGAAAGAAAGAAAGAAAGAAAGAAAGGAAGAAAGAAAGGAAGGAAGAAAGAAAGAAAGAAAGAAAGAATAAGAGAGCATTATGATTGGCAAACTGCCGTGCAGCTTTACTTTACATGGTGATACATCAGTGAAGCCTCCTATGATGTGTTGTGGACAGCTAGGCCCAGATTTGATGGACTACTTCATGCCGTGGTGAGTTGTGCTGTGCTGGTTATGTTGGGATGTTGGAAATCCACACTGTGCAGGAGCACCAGAGGAGAGAGACAGAGGAATGGATGTCGAAGGTGGTGGTGGATACCTTATATATGAAGATATCATTGAAAATGAACAAGTATGTGCAGCAGCTGGATCAATACAAGTCCATCGTGCAAGACGAGCCGGTCAGGCCTGGCATCAGGTAATAAACACTCGTAAAAAAGTTTGAACTTGGGACTTCGAAAAGTTACGGGACATGGAAAAACTCTGTTGTTCCACGCTTGCTGGTGATAAGCAACCGGACTGTTGCCCCCCCGGAATAGATGGGGCCCCTGTATTTTCTCCACAGGGGGGGGGGAGGGGGGGGGGGGGGGGGGAACAAACTATTTTCTCCAAAAAAAAGAAAGAAACGGGACATGGACAAAGCTTAGCCACGTAATCTGACTTTTCGTTAAATTTGAAGTTTGAACTATTTTGCCAGCAACACGAAATTGAACAAGGATTTTTTGTTGTTGTCGCTTTTGAGTCTTGACCCTTTCAGATGCTTGGGTTCCTTGATAGAAGGCATTAACAATTTAACACTAAGTTATGGGCACCACATTTGAAGAAGAAGAAGGGGAAAAAAAATCCTACCGTCTTCGTCCGAATAGAACGGCCCCTCATTATTGCTGCATCTAGACTGACAGCCAGACGAAAAATGACCAGATGCTCTATTCGGGTGAGGACGGTAGTACAATTGCATGACTCGCACGAGCAAACTATTTCAAATTTAACAAAAAGTCAGTTTGTAATAGTACTCTGAACTTTAATCAGCATTGTTACAAGATCCACCCTTGACCTGAGAGCATGACTAGGTTCAATCCTTGCCAGGCAGAGGAGAAGGCGGAGGAGGAGGAGGGGAGAGGAGGTGGAGGGGGAAGAGGGGAGAGGAGGACAGTGCGCCGACCAGCTTGGTGGACAACCTTTATAGTAAAAAGTTTATACATATGACTCTGACATTTGATCTGCCCTTAGATTTGAAAACGAGAAAAGAAAGACGCAGCCAGCGAAGGCTGTCGGTCTGTGAGGAAGCGAATCGTTTTTTTTTTAGGGGTCTTTTTCGTTTCTTTTCCCGAAAACTGATCCCGCTGAGCTGACCAGCCCCGTGTAATTCAGATATTTCATTTATGTGGATTCGAACTCGGGATTGTGTTTTAACAGCTCATGGGTGTACCAATTCGGCTACGCCCGTTGGTGAAGCAAATTGATCTTGGAAAAACACAACCACGTACCGAAGAACTGGAGAATAAACCCGTCTGGCCAGGAAGCACAAAAAGCAGAGAAACAGGCAGCTGTGACAGACTCTTTTTTTTTTT